ATATATATATATATATATATTATATTTATTTATTTATTTATATTTATAATACTTTTATATATCTGCATTTTTTTATTATATTTTATTTGTTATAGCAACATTAAAGGAGACCATATGAGCAAAATCAAGCATATTGAGCTTTTAACTACATTTTCCCTCATTAACCTTACTCAGAGTTGTATTTTGATCCTGTATTGTCCTGCATTCAAGGGTTGAGTGCTCAGAAAATTCTTATTTTCACCTACCCCCTTTCTCCACCCACATCTAGTTGCAATTATGAGAATTTAGTTAATTTTCCAAGTTTAGCTTTGTAATTCCACATAGCCACTAACTGCTTGTTATGATGAAATTTCAGTATGTAGACTTGGAGCCAGCAGCAGAGAATCACTTCTTCAGTTTTGAACAGGAAGTCAGTGGACCTGTTTCTGTTAATACACCACTCTAGTTCTATTGCAGTTTACAACTAGAAAAGCACTCAGCGCGCAGACCTCCGCCAAGGACTACCCCCATTTTTTATATAAATTGCGATAAAATCAGTCTTCTGGATCAGATCCGAATCAGCCTTTGGAATATGAAAGAGGATCCCATTGTCCATCCCTGAGTCAAATTTCATGGGGTTTGGTCAATAATTAACCGAGATATTGAGAAACAAAATTTTTGGCCCCATTTACCACAATGTTAACTAAAATTTCAAAGTGATCCAGAATCCAGGATTTCTTCCGGATCACCCCCAAAATGAAATCAGTTCTTCCTTTTCACATTTCCAACAAATCCTGAAAATTTCATCAAAATCGGTCCATAACTTTTTGAGTTATGTTGCTAACAGACAAACAAACAAACAAACAGACAAACGCCGGCAAAAACATAACCTCCTTGGCAGAGGTAATGAACAAATGTAAAGTAAAAAAGAGAAGGGGAAACCATTATAAGTTGGTTAAAAGGGCCCATATTGGGTTGGGCTTATCTTATTATAATGTTGTTTCCTCACATCCCAAAGACACCTGGAGTACTGTTTTGTTTTATTCACATATGTTTAACATACAAACACAACATATTTAGGCTGAGTTCTTCTCTCAAACAGAAAACACTCCACCTTCCACCTCGTGATGCCGTGTGCTAATACAGGAAGTGCTCCATTGTGTTTTTAAGCTCCATGCATCTAGACTCATTTGGATGATTTCAGCACTGGAATTTCCCATTTCTACTAAACTAAAGTTAAAATGTAGCTGTTGATTTGAACACTTCTGCTTCATGACATCACATGGTGGAACAGAGCATTTTGAGCTTTTGAGATGTAGACAGACTAATAATAAAATGTTACTCAGACATGAGTGAACGAAACCAAACACAACTCCAGGTATGTTTTTGATGAGGTAACAACATTCTAACATGGCTTAAAGCTCACAAGTGGCAATTTAGTGCAATACAGGACATAAAAACATAAATATGCCTTCTTTATATAAATATCTATTCATATTTTTTTAATATTTGCATCTGCTATAACTGAGTCTGTTGAAAAAACCCTGTCCAAACAAATTGAAATACCAGAACAACAGCATCTAATGATTAGCTGTCAACATGTGCTTTTATTTGGCTTCCTCTCCATTCGCGTCTCTCTTGTGACTTTACCTGCGCAGCCTCAGCTCTCGGCTGTCAGACAGGTGCTCCCCAGTCTCTCTGCATGTGTGTGTGTGTGTGTTTAATGAAACTGACAAATTCTTGCATACTGCTCCACCCACTCACCAACCAGTCTCGAAAAACAAATCAAATATGCATGCTCAGCAATTTGTTTCTCTTCGCCATTGGCCTTGTGCAAAACTTTTTTTGTTTTGTTTTCCAAAGGAGTAAATTTTAGGCAAACAACTCCACCATCACCATCTTCCATTTATTTAATCATTGTTCATAAAATGTGTTTTACCTATAATGACAAATTAGAAATATCAAAATATAGCTGTTAGGTCAGGATTTCTGCTAAAAATGCAGATTTATTTTTGATTAGTTCTCCAGGGAATAAAAACGCATAACCCTTAGGCTAATGACTACATCCCTGGACATCTTACATAGATGTTGATTTTTAGAAAGTACTTTCCTACTCTTTTGGTGCCTAAAATGTATTTGTGCATTAATAAACAGAATTCCATTGGCAGTTTTGTAATTTAGTCACATGCATCCATTAATTTTATTTTGTATCAGTCCTATCAATGAATAAAGATCCAAATGATGGTATTGTCAATGCATGTTTAGTGTAGGCTACATAATGTGTATGGCCCCATTGTGTCCAACTCCCTGGATACAAGTGTCAAATACCTCAGTGTGTGTTATACTGTAAGAGCGCGCTGGGGGTCGTGTGCAGCCCCTGGGCGCTTCATTAAAATTAAAATGCATGTGTTTTGGGGCAAGTATCTGTGTGTGTTTGTTCCCACTGTTCACATAACTGTTTACATAATTGATGAATATGATAATGATGCAAGCTGGCACAGTGTTCATATGGTGGCCTGTTTGAGCATTGGCGTATACAGGCTTTATGTTGAGGGCATTTTAACTTCTTGTCTGCTGTGACCATTGACTTTGTTGTGACAGACAGAAAGAAGTGCACGCTGACAACATATGGTAGTGGACTGAAGACCTGTGGACCCATGTGTGAGTTAGAAAAACACCTCTCCCCCCCTCTTCCTCACTGTTGGCATATGCTGTGTATGGTTGGCTGTTCGCCACTTGCCGATCGGACGCCCTGGGCAGTGCAGGGCACGGTGCCACCTGTGCCACTGTCCCAGCAGCAGCTCCCTGAGCTCACTGTGCACCTGTGTCCACAGGAGGCATACGAATACACAAACACATTATTATTATTATGTTGTGGCCTACAAGAGTAAACTAGGCACAAATGTCCCAATCAAGATTTGCAAATACTTTCACTGATAATATATTGACAGTGTTTATCAATTATTATTAGTTTGTTGAATAGAAATACGTAAAACCTATTGTTTCCTAAATTAGATTATTAGCTATAGGAACAATATGTAAAATTCAATATGCATATATCTTATCTAAGAAACAGATTGATGTTTCAATGCCATGGAGCTGGTGACGATGTAAAAAATAAAAAAAAAAAAAATAGTACAGACACAGCAAATACTAGTATATAATGCATTTTCTTTTTAATCTATATCCTTGAATCCATTAATATTAGTAATACAGTATTCATCTGCCCAATAGCTCAGAGGACTGTGGTCCTGGTGTACTCAGGACAGTGGGATTATAAAGGATTAGGCACTCCATAAATACTCTGAAGCCTCTTTTACATTGTGTCTCACTTATGTTTGACCTCATGACATATACAGTACTACATACTCAGTTTTTGAGCCATATAATTGTTTATTTTGTGGCTATTTTACATTGCCAGTGGTTGTTAGTTTAAGAGAGAGATAACTAAGGTAAAATCAGTGCGCTGAACTACAGTATGTTTTGCGTGCGAAATGGGCACGTCACAGAGGAACAAACAGTGTTATCTCTATGGCTGTGGTCTGTCAGATCCACATGTACTGAGTGTCTGCAGGCTACAGCTTTGTTCACTGTGTATGAACAGAGTATGCAGGGCCCTCATGTGGAGTCACGCAGCAGCCATCAGCTCTCTCTATATGTGCCACAGAACATAGCAAACACATGGACAAGTGCAGTCGACTTGTCCAAACTAGTTGTACACTAGTTGTATATACTCTGTTTGTACTTTTTGGCAAAAATTCCATAGAGAGATAAATAATGTAGCAGAAAGATTTGTAGGAATGGTTTTGTGTCCCTGGCAGTAGTTATATTGTAATGTATTATATGTTTTGCATAAATTATTATTATTATTTTTGTATTTTATGCCGTTTGTTTATTTAATCTGTGACCTTATTTGTAAGTTTTTTGCTCTTTTTTAATGCCTTTCTTGTCACTTTAGTTTCTGAATGTTTTGCATACATTTGAATTTCATTTAATTTGCTATTGCAGTCCTTATTTAACTGCAGTCACACTGTTATAAGCTATTGTTGCACAGTGACTCAAAACATTGTTGAGTTTGTTCATGTGCTGCCTCTGCATGTGTTGTAAACGAGCTGCACACTGGTCGATCCTATCTGACCCCCACAAACACATTTGACCGCCACAAACACATTTGACCCTCACAGACACATCTAACCCCACAGACACATCTAACCCCTACAAACACATCTAAGTCCCACAGTCACATCTGACCCTTACAGACACAACTGACCCCCACAAACACAACTGCCCCCACAGATACATCTGACCCTCACAGACACAACTGACCCCAAGAGACACATCTGACCCTCACAGACACAACTGACTCCAAGAGACACATCTGACCCTCACAGACACAACTGACTCCAAGAGACACATCTGACCCCGACACCCATCTGACACCCACACACACACCTGACCCCAGAGACATAACTGGCCCCACAGACACAACTGACCCTCACAGACACATCTGACCCCCACAGACACATCTAACCCCTACAAACACATCTAACCCCTACAGACACATCTAAGTCCCACAGACCCACATGACACATCTGACTCCAAATCCTCTAAAGGTTTGATCATTATGTGCACCCGACCACTCATAAACAACATATTCACTGAGGCAACTACAAAAACTTAACTTAACTTAATCCCTTACTATACAATTCATAACAACCATCAATTGCTCTGAATGGAGGGACATCATCTTCTGTACAAGTTTCTGCTTGTAGTTGTTTTGAGGATGTTTCATCATTCAAAATATATTTTTCAAATTTTGAATTGCTAATTGCTTTGGCAACAGTGCCATTTTTTCATTAATCTGAAACTCATGGATAATTTATAGTGAACTGTAAAAATCACCATTATAGATACAGTATTATAATTTAATAATGATATTCTTTGAAATATCATCATAAATATATGGCTATATACTTAACACAGTCCCAACCTAAACGCAAACAAAGGTTAGTTCTGCACACCTGACACAGTGGACTCAGTTGGCTGCAGTCATCTGTGGAGGTTTGAGATCAGCTGCAGGAGACACTCTGAACACGAGATGGACCAAAGCCAAAGCCAGACACATGCTGCAAAACAAATGAAATAAGTTCATTAACAACTTTAAGGGCCATCATTTTAGTATTATGAGCGCAGAAGCACAAAATGTGTTGGGAATAGAAACAATAGCAATTTTACAAATGGTGAAATATTGAATTAATTTAATTTCAACACAGGTAATATTACCTTATCTGAAAAATAGATTCAGGTTAAATTTTTTCCTACTGTGACAAAACAATGTATATGTAACATTTTTATTGTCAGTATAGATTACATGGATACATTTTTAGGATTATAAAAGGAATGTTTATGGAGCTTTTAGCAAGTAACAGTTTAATGGATAGGCTCGTAACTCCAGTAAAAGACTATTACCCCAATCATCACCCCAATGTATTCCAGTTTTATTTAAATTCTGCTTTGGGGGTGGGCAATAGTGATAAAACATCACAATATTATTTGCAATTATCTTGATGACTTTAATATTATAACAATCTATCAGAAACAAGTGTAGAACAAAAATGTAAATGTATCAACAATAGATACAATATATACATATCGATACAATAATACAATATGCAGAAATATCAGTGTTTAACCCTTATATGATTCTGTTCCATTTATTTATAATCTGTTGTTTTTGCATACCACCAAAACAACATTTATTATTATTGCTAGAGTCCAAAACACTATGGATTTTTCACCACTGACTCAGGCCATGAAGAGTAAACTTTAAATGGCAGACTCCCTTGTAATGTGCACATGCTTTTTAACTCACAAAATAATTTCATATTTGACCCATGACCTAAAGAAAGAAACCTGTCCTTTTGCATGTGTTTATTCAGTCTGTTTTCTTTCTTCACCAGTGCTGGACAGTATTATCGACCCTTCTCTGTCCACTGGTGCAAACTCAAATAAAGGTGGCCACGCATCAGCTAACACAGAGTTAAAAGCCACTGTTCGAATCCAGTGAACCAGCGGCCAATTAAATGCTCCGACTCAGCGCCTGTGATTTATCAGCCAATTATAAAAGTGGACAGGAAAAACATTACAGCCATAAATAAGCAGTGCAGACTATTACACTTGGTCAATATTAAAAAATGAAATTGTGACGTTTATACACTGTAAAAGAAATTTATGGAAAAGGCTGAGAGACTGCTGCATCGAGGAAATCACAATGAACTTTAGCCAGCACCATATTTTACTGAGGGTGAGAAGGAAGAAGTACTCAAAATATGTATAAAAGTGCTATTGCTTTGAAACTATCAAGTATTGATTTATTTCATAAAATAGAAAAAAATATCAACAGTGTCATAAAGCTAAACATACAAGAAATTAATGAAAAGGAGCAGAAAGAAGTGTCATCAATACTAAACTATAATAATTTGACTATACTTTACAGTTAGGTGTAAAATCTATCCATTACACTACAGTATTTCAGCTATAATACATTATTACAAGTGCAGTTACTTTGAAAGCCTCAGTACTACTTTAGTAACCACTTACTGTGCATATTTTAGAGAAAATGTTAGAATAAAACGCTGAATATATTACTACACTGAGCGAAAAGCACTCACAGCATGATAGTCCCTTTCCCTGTGGAGTGGTTTACATGTTTGTGCAGAAAACATGGACAATTTGGGTATAGGTAGTGCTGTCCACTCTTTTTACAAGTATACCAAACACGGAAAATAGTTATGTACAAGAAGTAAGTAACAAAATGTGAAATCCATATTATAAATGATGTTGTCATGTTTTGGTGGCTGTATGTTTATTCTCACAATGAAGCCTTAACTTCAAATACTATACGACACCTCAGCCCAGCACACAGCCAACATTTATTTAGAGACAATATTATTTGTTCAGTAGACAGTTTGTACAGAGTAGAGGAGAAGGGAAGGCCCCAGAGGAGAGACGAGATTGATGACCTGGAGAAGCAATCAGGAGCAAAGAGCCACGAACGAAATGTTTTTTATGTTGTATAGAGGCACCAAAAACTGTGTGCACTTCTGTTTGCTAAAAGTGCTGAATCATTCAAAATACAAGGATCTGAGTTGAGCGATGACAGTCACCTCAGGAAGTGTGTGAGTACAAAAGAATATAAATAACTGCAGGCCCCAGAAGCATTAAACATTACCTGAAACACATCCAAGTATTTTTATATTTGTTTCCCCATTGTTTCTTAACAATATGTAAAAAAACAGGTGTATGTGTAACTAATTTTAGGCCTGGAGTACTAAATAATAATACAAAAAAAATCACTAACAGCAATAGAGAGAGAGAGAAAAGAGAAATTGCCAAAAAACAAATAAAGTACAATGTAGAAATGTACCAAATTACTTAAACTGTCTGAACCAGATCACTATATTATATCTTACTGTACATTAAAGGTTTGTCAGCTCCCAAGCAATTAGTGATGAGGCAAACTATTCAGGGGTTTAAGTTTATAGGCGCCATTTTGAGGACTTTTGACCCATGGCATGTTGGGTGAGAACATAAACACTGTCAGTTTGAGGGGAGCATTTGCAGGTGTCAAAGATAATTAAAAAGTCAATAGCATCATGTATACAGTGGTGTGAGTCTGTTGTGCTCTGGCTATGGGAGGATCACATGGAGATTTTATAGTATCTTATAAACCAATGCAATTGTTATTGGCAAATTCTTTACAAGGGCTGTGTTAAATTGAACATTTAACAACATCCTCTAAGAATCTAAGCATAATTCTTGGGAGATCCTTAGACAATATGCATTTATATATTATTTTTATATATTAACTAACTTTGAACTTTGAACTTAATCGTGACCCTCTATAAAGAGCAGCATATTTACATTACTGAAAGATAATATTATGTCTCCCAGTGGTCCTCAATACAAAGCCCCAAAGAAGAAAGCGCCTCCATGGCCCCTATGGCCCTCACAGTCGAGTGTGAGGAAAGAGACAGCCCATTTTAGAGTTGAACATCTGCTAAGCCTTCAAAAACATCATTAATCATTTAATAAAATATATCTACTAGATTCATTTGTTAAACATATGCTAAAATGTTTGAAAATATAACATAGTTTATTTTTAGTTTATGTATTTTAATTAAATTTATTGCATTTAAAATAAAAACAAATCTGAAATTTTCTCAGTGTCCTTTCTGAAGAGCAGAAAACTAGCATCCTTGCAGCTTTAAATTGGAGCTGCTGATATTGTATTGGACCAAGCAGTTTTGATGTGGTGTGAACTCTATTTTGTGACAAGACAGTCACTCATAAACAGCACAGAGTGAGAAGGAGATTCAAACAGACGATTCTCTTTAACCTTGGTCTCAATGTCACTCAGCCCACTCGCTCGTCCCTGGCCCCTCCCTCATGGTGTGTTTGAGTGCCTCACCAGGGGGGCCTCTGCCGTAGTGGGGGTGGTGTCTCTCAGTATGTTTCGTATATGTGGAAAGTGCTAATGTGATAATTGAGTGTTCAAAGTCCAACTGTGCCACCAAACACAGCCCAGTCCCTGCATTTCTCACTCCCTGATGACTATTATTAACATCACAACACAGAAGCCAACATAATATCAGGCTGTTGACTTTGACTGTTGACTAGGCTGGATTTTTTCCCAACTAATATCTCAATTTTGAGTAGATTTAATTTAACTGTGCACATTTTACCCAGCCTTATTCTTGAGTTTCACCTTCTTATCTATTGGTGCCATTTTGAGCAGTTTTCACTATTCAAAACATATAATAGTGTATTTTTAATTATAAATTGCCACATTAATGGTGCTAAGTTTTTTAATCACTTTTAACATTTGAAAAAATAAAACTAACAAATTCTGCATTTCAGAACTTCCAGAGGCTTTAACATGGTTATCAGGTTTTACATTCAACATGCAGACAGCTATTTAGTTAGAGAAGATTATGAAATGTCAGCCTGTGCAATGTGCTTATTGCTTTAATAAAAATAATAAAATTAACATAATTACTGTTGTGATTATACTTGCAATGTATGACAAACATGTATTTTTATTATTAGCTGCAATAGAGTTGTTGAAGTAGTATTTTTATTTTTTATATATCTTTCCATCTTGAAAAATATGGAGAAGCCCATTGAGGAACATTTGATATCTGACTGGAATCTGGGCTCAAACTGTGCATGCGCCATGTGCTCTACCATGAGCTTCTCCTCTGAAGCTCTGCACTGAAAGATCCAGTGGGTCATAGCTGTCTTCAGGCACGCTCTTCACACATACAGGCCTCTCACTCTGGCTTTTTCAATATTGATCAGTCTTTGCACATTCACAAAGACACGCATCAGATGGAGAAAAATCAATGTGAGCGTTTACTGCCAGCCAAGTCAGCAGTTTGTATATTTGTGAGAGTTGAAAAGTTGAACCCAAAGTTTTTACCCAACAACAATGGTGGGTGTGGCGAAGGCGTTGACGGAGGAAGGACACATGTGAGATTAGGCCCGTCCGATCATCACTGATACAACAGCAGCATTTGCCTAATCCTCTGGTAATGGCCGCTTAGACACCCCAAGCCCCCACCCCTTTAACACACCCACCCACATGCACCCCCCCTTAGTCTCTCTGCCTCTTGTGGCCCAGTCATTTACATAACATTAGAAACATTAAGGCGGATCCAACAAGGCCCTATTATGTTGCGTGTTGGTTTTGAGTCCCAGTGCGTCAGACCTCTTAGTTTTGGAGGACATCAGTAAGACTTGTCCACTGTTTTGTCCACAAGAGATGTCTAAAGGACTGTGTGAATAGCAGCAGAGTGAATGGAGAGCTAGTGATCTGATACAGGTTTATAAAGTGACTGTTTGTTTATCAGAGAATGATGAAGTCTGTGTATCACAGAGAGGAGCGTAGCATTGATATTTCATACATGCTTCACACCGCTAATATTGTTTTTATACACTTCAAACATCAAGGTGAAAGATATAGACTGGACTATGACAAACACAGCTGAACTCCCTCGCAGGGTTTGCGAAGATGCAACATGCACAATGTTCAATAAAAGCGCAAAATTATTGTTGATGTTTATAA